GTGCCACGAAGTGCTATTTCCTGCTCCCAGCCCACCACCTCGCCTTCTCTGTCGCCCTCCTGGCCCAGGCCCATCAGTAGCAGGCCCGAGCTGTCCCGAACCGCACTTACCTTGGGTCTGCAAGCTCACACCGGCTCGTGATGCCACGGAGAGGGCTCGAGATTGTCTCCGGTGGACCCCATCCGAGGCGATTCCGAGGGCTTTACGGAGGTCATTATCGGCGCCACCGACCGTGAAATGTCCCGACCCGCAGCCCTCATGCACCAGGCGCAAGGATTCAGTCATAATATGTAGGCCTTCTCTCCCAATCTTTTGAGCACTAGCCGCAAACGGCGCTTCTAGGACGATAGAGAGACCGCGGGGGCGGGCACGAGTCCTCGACCGAAGAGAGCCGGCCTCACTTCACGGGGAGGGGCGGCGTGGCGATCCAGTGCCGCCGCCCTCGCCCGAGGAGTTGGGCATGGGACCACCGGAGGTGGAGTCAACAGGAGCAGGCGGAGTGGGCGAGACGGCGGCGGGGCCGCGGCCGAAAAAGGCTAGGAGGGGGGGTCGGGCTCCGCATCCGTTGCCCAACCAGCGGAAAGCGAGTGGGGGGAGGACCGAGGGGATAAGAGGGCCCCTCCAGACCGAGGGGGGGGAGGCCAGACCGGGAAGCCTCGAGGGGTGACGTCGAGTGAGGATGTACGTCGTGTGCGTGTCTGGTGTTTATTAGCTCCGAGTAGAGGGGGCGCTCCGCTGCTAGGGGAAACCTGGAGCGCGGACTAACCCTCGGAGACCCGTGTTTACTTTACGGCCCTTTCCCTGCGAACGCGCACCCCCTGGGCTAGGGCTCTCTTGCCCGCAACCCGATGCCAATCATCCGGCCCGCTGGGTGCGCTTCTCAGCTCCCCGGCCCTGGGTGTGCGGTTGCCGAATGCACTCCAAGTGCTCCAAGATCATCCGGCCCGCTGGATGCGCTTCTCAGCTCACCGGCCCTGGATGTGAGGTTACCGACTGCACTCCAAGTGCTCCAAGTGCTTTACATACCTAACTTCACACACCTCTCCTTAAAATCCCTGTGTGGTGGCGGCGTGCCGTCCTCCCATCCCTCCCTTGGGTTGTCTGTTTTCTTTCTTTCTTTCTTTTACACACCTAGAGACACACCGATATAGCCCGTCCACACCGGCAGCGCCCTTCCATCGACGGCTTAGCGCTAAGCATAGCATCATCTCTCTCGCGACAGCCCACCCTCAGTGGGTGGGCGACCGCCCTTCTCGCTCTCTCGCTGTCCTCGGGGCGGCCGCCGAGGTACTGCCGTGGGACACCCTGAGCCCCGATATACCTCACTGCCCTGGCGCCCACACCTCGATCTTCTTGGGCTGCAGCTGGTTCGACAGGTCCTCTCCGTGGCCTAGGCGGCCGTCTTCGCCCTTGCCCCACGTGAAGACGGCGCCGTCGGCGGTGCGGGCGAGGCTGTGGTGCAGTCCAGCCGACGCGGCGACAACGCGCTGCCCAGCCAAAGCCTCGACCTTGCTCGGCAGCAGCTCAGCGTGCCGCTCGTCGCCGTGGCCCAACCGGCCAAAGCGTCCATTGCCCCAGCTCCAGACGGCGCCATCGGCAGTGAGGGCGAGGCTGTGATCGCCTCCAGCCGATACGGCGACGACACGCCGCCCAGCAAAGGCCTCGACCTTCGTTGGTGGCAGCAGCTGGTACTGCACGACGCCGTGGCCCAACTGGCCATAGCCTCCCCAACCCCAGCTCCAGACAGCGCCGCTGGCGGTGATGACGAGGCTGTGGTTGCCTCCAGCCGACACGGCGACAACGCGTTGGCCAGCCAAGGTCTCGACCCTCCTCGGCAGCAGCTGGCGCTGCTGGTTGCCGTGGCCAAGCTGGCCATCGCTTCCACCGCCCCAGCTCCAGACGGCTCCGTCGGTAGTGATGGCGAGGGTGTGGAAAACTCCTCCCGACACGGCGACGACGTGCTGACCCACCAAGGCCTCGACCTTCTTCGGCAGCGGCTGGCGCTGCTCGTCGCCGTGGCCCAAACGGCCGTCGTTTCCATAGCCCCAGCTCCAGACGGCGCCGTCGGCGGTGACGGCAAGGCAATGGTGCAGTCCCGCCGACACAGCGACGACGCGCTGCCCCGCCAAGGTCTCGACCTTCTTGGGCAGCAGCTGGCGCTGCTCGTCGCCGTGGCCCAGCTTGCCCTCGCTTCCTACGCCCCAGCTCCAGACACTGCCGTCGGCGGCGAGGGCGAGGTTGTGCTCGGATGCGGCCGACACGCTCACAGCGCGCTCGCCGCCCAGCGGCGACGGGAGGAGGGTCGGCGTGTTGAGCAGCGTCACGCCCTCACCATGGCCAAGTGGCCCTGGACTTTGGCCGAGGTGGCGTTGATTCGGCGCTGAGCCGCACGATGAGAGCCGCCCCTCCCCGTCGATGAAAACGCTGTGCTGCATTCCTGCCGCCGCCCTCGCGGGCGGGTTGGACTCGCGCAGCAACGCAGAACAGCACAGCCACCGCACGGCGCAGCCCTCGTTCTCTGGCTGCGCCGGCAGCTCGAAGCCGCGCTCTCGCGCCCACAAGCGGATGCCCTCCACCACAAGCGAGGCGTGAAAGAGAAGCGAGACGGCCGCGACGCGAGCGATGTCGGCGGGGTTGTTGCAGCGAGAGAGGGCGCGCACGAGGAGCTCCGTCGGGAGGTCGAGGAGACAGGCGGGTGGCGGCGTGTCTGGATAGGTGGCGGCGGTGGAGGCGGCGGCGGCGATGCTGCGCGAGCGGCGCGAGCGGCGCGGCGGGGTGGACTTCGCGAAGAAAAGAATTTCGAGAGCGCAGACCATTTCAAATCGCGCTGCGTGCCTGGCGCTGTCCCTTGTCAGAAGCAGGAGAACTCCCGTTGCCTGGGCGGCGGCGAACACAAGTCAACTCAGCAGAGGGCGCACACATCCCTCGCCCCGTTGTCCACTACTTCGTTGGCGCGGTCCTCGAGAGCATGAAGTCCTCGAAACCCGTCACCCGATTCCCGTTCATACTCTCTCTACACTCGATTTCCCCGCGGCACTGTCCATTATTGCGTGTGTTGCTTTTACGTAGTCCTAGCCGGGGGCTTGATAATTTTCGGGCTAGTCTTGTCGCATCCAGAGTGAAGAGTGATACAGTGCTCTTCCTGTGTGAGCTGTGGTGTTGGAACCTGCTGCGTCGCAAAATTGCAACATGCCCTTCCGCCCGCCCCGCTGCTCAATGTCGCCATCGGTGCTGATCATCCGGGCTGCCGCGCGCCCTTCGCAGTACGAAAAGATCGGCCGACGGCGAGAGCAGTCGGGCTAGATATTAACTCTTCGCATTCGCCTAGAATTTTACCTCCCCCCTCCCTTCTCCAGTAACGTCAGTGCATAAAGCTCTCCCCATGACATGATCTGGCTGATGAATGCGGAAATGCACCATGGAAGGTTGGTGTGCGGCGGGCCGGTGATAAGGGCGGCCCTCCGTGGCGATGGCGCTAAGAGGTTCCTCTTTTCGGCTTTCGCCAGCCTTTGCAGGCATCCTAAGTTCGGCGGCTCAGCCTCCTCTGCGCCAGGGATCGCGCGAGGCGCAGCACGCCCTGTGTCGTCTGCGCGAGATCCTAGTCCC